CCCCAAAACCCCAAAACCCCAAAACCCCAAAACCCCAACAAACAATAACTTTTGAAATAAATATGAACATCTGGGTATTTCTAATCTTCTGTTGGTTCTGTTGCATTTAAGTGGCCTCCGAAGTATTCCTTCATCTCTCCAAAGATTTCACTGAAAGCAAACCTTGATCCTTTATCTTTTACTACCTCTACACAATATGTTTCATTTCCTGCATCTAAAATGTTGGTAGTAATGGTGACCAGGTCTTCTTCTTCATCTTCTTCCCCTTCACTCTTGCATATCGTAAATGCTCATGAATACTCTTCCTTAGCGAATTTATATTCAGAGGCTACTTCGTCAGCAAATAAAGCAAGAGTATGGAAAAGAGATTCTGGGTCTGATGTCGAGAAAAATTGAGTAAACCTTTTAAATTCAGGTATATATTTTTGGCACACTCTTTCATTTACTTCTCCTACTTTCTCTTCTTCATCCTCATTATCTGAGCCAACTCCTCTATGTACAGATCTTCCAGCAAATATTCTTTGGGAGGCTTGCTCTTCCGGTATATCCATACTTTGTTGGTTTAGGCTTTCTTCTAGCTCACTTTTTCTCTTCAGAAATTCTTCTTTGATTTCATCATGAGTGGGAACAGACCCATTGTACCAAGCTGTTTGCTTTACTTCAGCAAGTGAAGGCCTCTCCATCGCATTGAAGCTTATTAACAAAGTTACCAGCTCTCTGAAGTCAGCACTAAAGAATTCTAAACCATTAGGTCTGTTCTTAGAATGATGCTTCCAAAACTTATTGGGCCTGTTGCCTCCAATAAGGATGTATTGTTTATCCTTATGAGAAGCCTTTCTGAAAGGCGGTGTTTTTGAAACCATGACAAATAAGATTACACCTAATGCAAATAAATCAACACATTTTCCTGAATATTTTTGACTTAGAAGAATCTCTGGCGCCATGTAATTTCCGCTACCTTTGAAAGAATCATTCTGATTTTTTAAAGAGGCTAATCCAAAATCAGCTATTTTTATATTAAAGTCTTTGTCAAGGAGAATATTCTCCGGCTTCAGATCCCGATGACTTATGCCGTTATTATGCATGTGCTCGAGAGCATCACACATCTGATGGAAATAGTATCTTGCTACATTTTCTGAGAAATATCCTGTCTCTGCTATGAAATCAAAAAGTTCTCCTCCAGATGCTACCTCCATTGCTAGGGAGTACACTGGTTTTGAATTACCATTTGGACGAATATAGTAAGCTTTATCATCATATTCAATAAGGTTGATAACGTTAGAGTGATTTAGGCACTTCATAATGTTAACTTCATGAGCAGCAGATTCCTCTGAGTACTCATCTTCATTTCTTGGAATTAATTTAAGTGCTGCTTTGTTTCCTTCGGTTTTATGCTGAGCAAGGAAGACTCTATGGTAATGTTAAGAATAATGAGTTTTTAATAAAATAATACTTACTCTCCAAATCCTCCTTTTCCTAACAATCTTAGTATGTTCCAATTTCCACAAGTAGCCATATTTTTAGATGTTATTATTTCAATAGAATTAAGTAGCTCCGGGGTTTTGGGGTTTTGGGGTTTTGGGGTTTTGGGGTTTTGGGGTTTTGGGGTTTTGGGG